TATATATATTATATATNTAGTATATATATTATATATATATATATATATAGGTATGTGTATACGTTTGCATGTATGGATGTATGTATGTGAGTATGTACTTTTGTACAATTGGAGATACTGAATTGTTTTTTCAGTAGTCCATTGGGTAAAATTTAATTTGTCCTCTACTCGTGCTGAACCACAAGTCGATAAACTTTTTTTCTCGCAGCTGGTACATCTGCTGTACAAGGTAGTGCCGAAGTGAATGACAGTTCACGCTCGCTGATGTCAGTCCCGGCGCCTCTCTATCCTAAGGCACAACCTACAAACAATCGTCACAGAGAGCCCTTAAGCGCTGCTGATCTGGACGGAGTTGTGCCGTATAGAAAACAGCGAAGAGGGAAGCGGGGTAGGAAGAAGAAGGTATCCGTGTGTGAAGTAGATACAGAGAATGGGAAAAGCACGATGGGCGCTGTTGAGAGCCAAACGGTTGCTGTGCAAGTTGATAGGATGGATGAGGATACTACAAATCAACACTTAGGCCAACAGAGCACGAGCGTAACGGGCACGAGCGTAACGGGTAGCGGTGCGACTGAGACACATACGAGTACTAATCCGGTCAGTTCACATGGAAACACGAATACAAGTATCACAAATACAAACTTAAATACGAATGCAAACACGAGGTATGACACACGTAAAGGTTCTCGCCGGGACATCAAGCCGAATACTCGCATCAATACAGGTCCGAATCAGGGCCCAGGCGCCAAACGGGGCAGTGGCGTTGGTAGGAATGAGGGGAATCAATACAAGAAGAAACGAAAGTCGCAGCCTGGTTTGAACGAAGAACCGATTGTGTGTCCAATGGCTCCGAGGAATACATCGCAATTCTTGATGGATGTACATATGGAGACGATATCAGACCCTTCCACAGCGACTGCGACCTCCGACGCCGACGACGTATGTCATAAACTTAATGAGTGAGCCCACTGACTTATAGATATTGATCTATGTGCATCGTGGCATATACAAACAAACATTTTATATATTTGTTTGTTGTCTCATATTTTTAAATTTATTTGTTCGCTGTTGGTTTATTGTGCTTGCTATCAGTAGTTTTTGTATATAATGGTTATAAGTTACAGCTTCACACGACCGGTGCAACTACAAGCGTGGTATCTCAGCACCTTGTACCCTTTGTATATATAGTTCCTACAGCCACGCCAGCGGACAAGCAGCGAGTCTATAACCGGAGGTATGCCGTATGGATTTGAGGACGCGTTGTACGGAGACCTCACGTATAAGGACAAGGACTATATAGTGAACAGATTGAAGAATGCAGAAGCCGAGGCAGAGGATCTCAGGTATGGCGTGGGAGTTTGAACTGGGGGATCGTATTTCAGTGCTCATTACCTACTGTCCATAGTTTTTCATATATATTGTGTCGATGATCGAGTTGAAAACTACCTATGCACCTTTCTAGTGGTTCTATTTTATAAAATGTGATGGTTGTGCTAAACAGTCGCCCGCGGTGTTATAGTTTTACTCTGATGTCGTTGATCACTTTTATTTTCTAAATCCTTAAATCCTTCGCTAGATTTATATTTTTGGAGCTTTACTTGATATTTATAACCCCTCACCAACCACAGACAATCCTTACACCGCCTGAGATCGGTCGAAAGCAAACACAAGGATACCATTGTGCGTTTGGAGGAAGAGCTGAGTATACTCAAAGCCCAAGCGAAAGATTCGGAGACGGAGAAAAGTGAAACACTACCCATGGCGGATTGAGTGAGTTGTGGTGTACAATTTAATTCACAACTGTTATTTGCTCTGATGGCCTTGTACATAACAAGAGCGCTTTGATTCCAATGTGTATTACGTTCGTGCTTGGCAAGGATAGTACATATGTTGAACAATCGCCCTCCCCATAGGGCATTCCGAGGCTCCCACATTCAAGCCAACACTCAGGCAAACGATAGCCTTCTGAAGTCAAATCCCAAGTTCGGACTCAGTACTGAGCCTTCTAATTTAAGGTAATGCACACCGCGTACGTGGTTGTATTGTGGCTGCTGATGGTTGTCTGGCAATGGCTTATATCGTCGCGCAAGTTGTGGCTATTTTTAGCACAGGCCAGTGACTATAAAGAGCACATGCTGGCTAGAAATAGCTGTCTGTTGCGTGAGTGCATATGCGCGCCGTTGGAATTGTCGCACTTCCCGTAACTCTTGACAACGCATCCAGTACCACAGGTGTGGGATTAAGGCTTACTGCGATGTGTAAGTGAGCTGCGAGTGTAACCGGTTCGGATAGTATCAGCGCTCTTTGCCCGTGCTGCGAGAATTGAGCTCTTGCGAGCAAGCCTGGACGAGAAAAGCCCTCCGTTTCGTACACTCTAAGAGAGTCCTGGTCTAAGCCCAGGGCTTTCGACCTGATTTCATGAGATAACCCTGCGATACCTCGCCCCAATCCAATCTGCCACGAGTGATTGACACCGGCATGGGATGCATTCTGTCTAGCCTTTTAATTCAGCGTAAGACCTTTACTGCTGACGATTAGTTAGGACTATCCTACCAAGCAGATGCTGCACTACATGTATGACGTACCTTACAAAACTAACCCTACCACTGTACCACTTCAAGTAGACAACACCTCCGCGGTTTGCCATCTGAACAAATAAAAGTAGTCGATCCGCTCCAATAAACTCGGTCTGAACTCCACATCTCTGCACTACAACTTCATCCGTTTCCAGTACGTGCTTGTCTCGGAAGGAAAAGCGAAAGTTCCCACTCCAGACACTACCCATTAAGAATGGACAGAAGCTCTGTACTATCGGGTGGTAGACAATCACTACCAGGCTAACTTGGGATCCGCGGCCAGACATACAGCATTGACGCTTTTTCCCTTCCTTGCACACATACCACCGTTTCTGAGATCGAATCTCCAGTCGTGCTTTGTGCAGGTGAGCACTCCATTCCTAACCGGCATCTGTGGAAAAGTACCGCAAATACAATTGATGTACGGATTATTAGAGCTGTTATGTCGAGAGAAATTAGCCGGTACGATTGATAGCCTGCACTATACGAATTCAGTACCACGGGCCAAACAATAAAGCTCAAAAGAGTTTCCACTACTAAAACCCAGAACTGACAGGTCACGAAATCTCATCTCTGACTTACTCCCTTCATATCGACATTTTTGTGTGGACAATATCGATCGACCTCATATGTTTTCCCACCGTCTTGTACGGTCATCCTTCTGAAGTGATGAAACAGACCAGAAGTAAGGATGAGTTCACCCACAGCAACTAATACGTGATTGCTAGCCAACGAGATATTAGATATGATTTTATCGAACGTAAACGGCCTCAATAGTACCGATGATGAGGAAAAAAGTGAAAATACTGAAGTAAGGAAATATGCTGGACATCTTGCTTGCAATGGGTGCAAGTAGGTGCATAGAGAGAAGGAATACATATATATAACCCTGCATACTTGGGATATCTACTAGACATACAGAAAAAGTCAAAACAAATTATGTATACACCAAAAACTATGATACCTAACACTTCCTGTGCAAAAATCAAAGTCCAAATGCACTGACACACCTACTCGACTGCGACATTGCGTCTTTCCCGAATCTCTGCGCTTGCGCCAAGCGTTTGTATTTATCCCAGCCAATCAGCGCTGACGAATGGGAGCGGCCACCCACCGAAGCACTCTGTGACTGTGCTGTGAGTATCGACATATCGGACACACCTGGCGAGGATGCAGAACTATCATCTAGCTCAAGGCGTTCAAATACGGGCAACGGTGTGAGACATCGCAGTTCTATGGCCCTTCTCAGTAGATCTTTAACGAGTGGCAGGAGCTCTACCGTATCCCACGACGCAGTGCTGAGTGAGCGCAGATCACCGACAGTATAAAGCCGGTTGTGATACAGAGACCGTACATCGGCTTTCTGTTGCACCTCAGTCCAGTTGCGGTGCAGTGCGAGAGTGCTGAGTAGCTCATCTGTTTTAACGTCATCTTTGTAGTAGTAGGGTACCGTCGAGAGACTGCCGTTGGCGAGAAGATCGCTCACTTGTGCACGCTGGAGCGCTTCTGCATCTTCAAGTTGTCGACGTTGAGCTTTCTTTCTCTCCTTCATTTGCTGCAAAATGATTGTGAACAGCAGACGTGAGCCACAGTATGAGTTGCCTGAACGTATAGTACACCTATAGTTGTCGAGCTCTAGTAATACGTCACATCGCCTACCTTGTGCTGCAACTTGTATGCTTTTCTTTCCTCCTTAGAAAACCGTAATTGCGACTGCTTGTCCCCCTCATCCTGGGCAGCTACCCCCTCTATGGTGCTCTCTTGTGCTGTTGAGGGTCCTGCTTCGGATACTGATTGTGACATATCTGCAAATGAGAGAAAAAAAAACAATTAACTAAACTAGTGGTTCAGGACTTTTAAGGCCTGCACAATACTACAATACTAATGCCACATGGATCGACCATTATCCACAAGCCATATGAGACCGGTACAAAATAGTGTGTACATAAATGGACAAGGACATGTACACAAACGCCAAAAAACAACAACAACTATACGCATACATACACGACATAATAGACGTACAATAAATATGCTTCATGTACATGCATAGATACTATATAATATATATACACTATATATATACACACACACACACACACACTTATATAGATATATATATATATACACACACACACGTGTACACACACGAG